AGAGAGAGTTTTTTAAATATTTATTTTTCAGTTTTTGGTGGACACAACATCTTTATTTTATGTGGTGCTGAGGATCGAACCCAGCGCCCCACGCATGCCAGGCGTTTACTGCTTGAGCCACATCCCCAGCACCCCCTCCACTCATTCTTATCATCCCTCAGTCCCTCCCGGGTGTTGTCTCCATCCACCTCTGCATTTTTCTCCCCAAGCATCTCCAAAGAAAAGTTGTTAATCCTCAAAACAAACAAGTACGACCCAGTAATCCCCAAGCAATGTCCCATAAAGATCTGCAGACTTCACTGCTTCTCCTAGTGGCTCCAGGCTCCCAGGCCTCCTCTGTGACCACACAGTGAGGTGAGGTGACTTAGCTTACTTCTGCTGTCCAGCATGCCCAGCCTGGGCCCTCTCCTGCCTAACAGGAAATCCTGCCCACTGGGTACTTCTTAGTTTTGGGGACTGAGCTCAAGCAGGTGGCAGCTAACTTCCAGCTCCAAGGCAGGCAGAGCCAGATGGCCCCAGAGATAAAGGAGTGGCTGGATGAGAAGTGGGGTTGCACACAGCCCTCTTTCAACCCAGGGCAGGTGGGGCTCAGGATGCCAGAAAATGGAGGAAAACCCAGACCCTTACCCTCCAGAGAGTGAGTTGGTCTCTAGGTTTCTGGGGGTGGGGGGCAGTAGGCTGTGCTGTGCTGGTTGGTCTGCAGTGGCTGCTGTACAGGGCAGTTTGGGGTGCAGAACTTGTCCTTAGTACTGGCATGGCTCTTACTTCTCAGTCCACCCCCCTTCCAAGAAGCCTACCTTCCGTTTCTGAAAGGCAGCCTTGTCCTTTCTCAGGGGATCAATTCCCCACCAACCCCTGTGTCTTGAGTCTTGGGCTTGGGACATTTATGCCAGCCTTAGAGTGGACACTACCAAGCCCATCAAGCAAAAGCCCAGATGTCCGGTCCTAACCAACCACCACTGCCTCTGATCACTGTGCTGGCCAGTCAGTACTCTGGGCTGGGTTTAGCAGAGCAGAGACGAGCACTGCATCCTGCCTGATGGTCAGTGGAGATGATGATGGGCAGACAGAGGCTGGGAGAGCTGTTCCCTAAGCAAAGGTCCCATGTGCTACGTGGCCCTGCCTCCTTCTGCCTGGGACCCCATAAGCTCAGGGAGAACTTGAGAGCAGGGCTGTGCCCGGCAATAGCCCCAGGCCCACCTCCCAGCCCTCAGGCCAAGTAGAAAGAAAAGAGGAAGGACTTTAGAATCAGACAGGCCCATCCTGTGAGACCTGCAGTAACCCCAGCTCTCTGAGCATGTGTCCTCTCCTAGGAAACTGGCTTCCCACTGCACCTGCAGCAAGTGACTGCAGACAGTTGAAACAGCACAGGGGTGCCATCTGCAGCATGCCAGCAAGGTTTGGGAGGTTCAAAGTCCAAATGGGGTAGTTCAGATTGGTGAGGGCCACCCTGGGCTGTGCCATATCATGGAGGGTGGCAATGACCAAAGCCTTGGAAGCAAGTGATGACACCTCAAACTAGGAGCAGGGAGATGAGGTCAGGCCTGCCCTTTTTATAATATGCATTAGGTGACTTAGTAAGCTAAGTCACCTCACTGTGTGGTCATATATAATTCTCTCAACAGAGAATTGCCTTCTAAGAGCACACCAACCCAAGAACCTCCTGTCAGGCTCCACCTCCCAACAGCACCACCTTACCAACCACAGTGGACCATTGGGGACACCCAAACCATCCCCAAACCACAGCATGCCTCATCTCAAGGTCAGCTGATTGGCATCTCAGCTCTTCTGCCACAGAACACATTCCCAGGTCCTGGAGATTAGACGGGGGCATCGTGAGGGGCTGAGGGCCATCTATACTGCACAAAGGAATGTGTTCCTGTTATTCTGGGAAAGGGGCAATCAATAAGGATGGTTTTCCCCTTTACTCTCCTCCTTCAAGCAGTTTGCCAAAGTTATTAACCTGAGTGTGAAAAGTAACCAGGAGGGTGTGTTGAAGGACAAGACATGGTGAGCAGGAGAGGAAGGTGGATCATTAGGAGGTGCAGAACCAGGCTCCTAGCTCTGCACAGCCCTCCCAAGCCTGCCTCATGACCTTACCCCTGTGCCTGATTTTCCCACTTGCTCTGCGTCACCTTTGTTAGCTGCCAGAGCTCACCCAAACTGGTCTTCTTCTGGCTGGAATCCGGAGTAAAATACCACTTTGTATTTGGAACAATTTTCCAACAAGTTGTGAAGGAAAAAGCCAAAGTTCCAATAGAAATGTTATTGGGGAGGAGAGCTGCCCTCCCAGGACAGGGCCACATCTAGGGCCACAACTGACACATACATGACTGACCAGGACAAGGATAAGGCAGAGATGTGAGGTTTTCCAACTTGGCTTTTCCCTGTGGTTCCCTGAAGACCAGTGTCTGGGAAGGGAGACTTTGGAAAACGCTGGAGTGGATGACTCTGCTCTGGTATGAGACACGGGAGGTAGCTGCCTGTACAAGGTCCACACACTGGCAGCCAGACAGCAGGAAGAGTCTGCAGGCTGGCTGAACCCAACCCAGTTATCCGAGAGGGGCCATGTCACCTTCTGTAACAGTGGGGGTGGCCTCCACCACATGGGATCTTCTGGCTCAACTTAGCAAGGCCTAAACTGTGCAGTCTCAGTCGAAGCTGAGAGAAGAAACAGTCTCTTTAGTCCTGCCAAGTTCCAAATGTGACAGTAAACCCTACAATGAAATCCAGCCTCATAAATTCTATCCCTATTCCAGAAAACCCTTCTGACTCCGGTCTGCATTCACCTTTCTCTAAGCAATCAGCACTCCCAAACACAGGGAGGAAATGGTGCCATCAGACTGGGAAGGCATCAGCCAGAGAGGATGAGGGCAGCCTCAGGGTCTGCCTCCATTCTAGAGCACACCTGGAAGGGGTCCCTTTGCTGCAAGGGCTGTGCTATTTCCTATCTGTCCACACACAGCCCTGCTGGTGAACTTCAGGGATGCCCGGTGTCCATGGGCATTATTGTCCCTTCCAGTGGCCAGAGCAGTGTCCAGGATCCTTCATACAGGGGACTTGGATTTCTATATCCAAAGCTGCCATGTTGAAAAAGGGGTCCCATTTCATTCCAGTACTGCCCCCCACCCAGGCCCTCTGCCAGCCAGGCTGAAGGGGGCTGTGTGTACTATGTTGGGACCTAGGCCTTCATGCACTGTCCCCTCCCTCCTCTGTGTCCTACCTGGAGCCCACAGAGCCAGGCAGGAGCCAGTCTTGCTGCACAGGGCAGGGCTACCAGAAGAGATGCCAGCATGGACACCCACTGGGAGGTGGGGGCAAGGTGAGGAACCCAAGAAGCACCATTCCACAAGTTGGCAGGAAAGAATCCTGTTGAGCCCACTTGTGCCCAGCGTGGACCCCAGGCGGCCACACCAGCCAAGCTCCTGCTTTCTCCACCAAGAGGCCACCTTTGTGGCATCCCCTGGCAGGGGCAGGCCCAGACCAGCTGGCACTCATCCTTATTAGAATTCGGGGTTGAACACTCCTGTGAGCTGCCTAGTAAAAAACCAGAGAGAGACCTTCAGAGAAAGTGCTTCAATGATGCAGTCATCGCCAGTCAATTCAGACCATCTCCATCACAGTGGAGAGTCTGGAGCAGGAAGGGCTGCTCTGTCCTCTGCCAGGCAACATAGGCAGCTGGGAGCCCTCTGGGGGGTTTCTGGTACTTTCTACACCTACATGAAGAAAAACCTAACTTCTTTCTCTGGGTGAGCTGGACAATTAAACTGCCCCAGAATGGTCTTAAGGCAACTTTGGTTTTTCATAAATAAATAGATTAATTTAGTTGTTTCTACATTCTAGGATAGTAATCAGACATAGGTCAGCATCCCAAACCAACTTATGAAATATTCTAAAACAGCCCGGCTTCCAAGTAGCACAGGAGCTCTTTAAACCGGAAGCTCAGTCTAGTTTTGGAAAAGGAATCCACAGGTGCAGTCTGTATCAGGCCAAGCCTCCTTTCTTGCAGAGCTGGGATGCAGTCCCCACTAGGTTCCTCCTCCTCCGAAGCCTCAAGGAGTGACCCTGGCTGTTCCCACCCACCAGACACCCTCTCTGGGGCCTTATCGCAGGTCAGCCAAAACTATCTGCAATGTAGAGCGGGACAGGCGGACAGCGAGCCGAAAACCCAGCACCCAGCGGTGAACTCTGGCTCCTAGCAGCCCCGGGCGCCAAGCCTTGCAAGCTGGCATCTGAGGCCATGCAAGGTCTACCCTTTCACGTCCTGGTGGGTCTGTGCCCCATAGCCCTGCAATGCGCCACGCCGTCCCTAGGACGCACAGGCAAGCCTAGGGGCAGCAACTCCCCGAGAGTATGCTTGGCGGATCCAGGAGCCGGAGGAGCCGCTCAGAGCCTGGACTCCATGGCTCGGCTCCAAAGAAACAGAAGCAGAGAGTCACCAGTCCGAGAGCAGTGTTCCTCCCATGCGACCCCCAGGATGCACACAGAGAGCCATGGTCGAAGCAGGCACACGACGAAAGTTCTGCTCCCGAGGGCTGGGACGTTTGGGAAGAGCATCCCTGGAGCCACTCAAGGACTGCCAGAGGCGCAGTCTATATCGCCCGGAATCCGCGCAAGGACACCGGCCCATGCCCAGGCCGCAGCTCCACCATGCCGCCGCGCCCGTTGTTGGTTCCTCAGCTCAGGGGGACTGGGTACAGCTCAAAGCGTTGCGGGAGCGTCCCCGCAGCCTTCTGGGCAGGAGAAGCGCGGGCAAATCTCGGACAGAGTTCATCCAGCGCAGCGAGTTCCGCACCAGTGTAGCCAAGCGGTTCTGGGCCGGGGCTCAGAGGTCCCAAGCAGCGGCCCTGCCCCTCCCTGTTTTTCCCGCCTCCTCTTTAGCAAAGCCAACCCGCGCCGAGGCCCGCATATCAGCCGCCGCGACGATTGGACAGCGGCTCATGAAAGCGGCACCACCTTTTTATAGGGTACAGAGGGCGGGGGCGCCGCGGAGCCCCGGGCAGCGGTGCGGCAAGCTGCTTCTGCGTCCCGCGCGCATTGTGCGACAGTCCCCGCACCCACCGTCCCACGCATGGCACCCACGTCGCTCGGGATGAACACCGCTGCGCTCAGGGCACGCGGTGGGGGCGGCGCGGGCTCAGGTCCCCTGCCTTTCAGCGTCGAGTCACTGCTGGAGGCAGAGCGCGGGCCAGACTCCAAGCCCACAGAGCCAGGGGAGGAGAAGCCGCTAGGCGCCCTAGAGACCCGGGCCTGGGTCCCGCCTGCTGCCCTTGCGTGCCCCCTACGTAAGTGCCCAGCCTCGCGGTCCCCGGTCCTGAGTAGCGCCCGACCAGCCTGGATGAAAACCAGGGCGGAAAGGGCGCTGTCGCTCATAACTTACAAAGTAATAGCCACAAACGCGCCCAGCCTAAGCGCAAAGAAAGACAATTGCCCACCGGAGCCCTGCAGCGCGTCCAGGCCCAGCAGCTACTCCTGCATCCCACTCCGGGCAGGCTTCGGTCCTGTCCACAACCCAAGGCTTTTCCTCTCCAGGACTCTCCGACTGAAGCACTCCCTGTCGGCCCCATGCCTTCCTGAGATAGCTAAAGTTGGCTTGGAGTCCTGGACTCTACGCTCACCCCACTCATTTCCGGCCACGGTCTCCAGTCCGAGCCTCCCGCTTTTTCCAAGTGGATAGAGTCCTAATCTTCCCTGGGGTGAGGGGCTGTGGGTTGAAGAGCAAAGCCCGAATCCACAGGGAGCCACCTTTGCCCCACCGCTTCCCCGCCCTTCCTGCGCTTGCCCCAGCTGCCTTTGGGGTCTCCAAGGGCCCAGTCATGAATGGGAACTTGCGCCAACAACCGGCCTTTGCAGGGGTCTGGCAGTGTCAGGACAATGACCTAGCGCCAGCGTTTGTGGGCCCTTTTTATACTTCTCTTTCCTTTCAGGAGCCCCCAGCCCGGCACCCTGCATCCTCCGAAAACACAAGAACAACCGCAAGCCGCGGACGCCCTTCACTACCTCGCAGCTGCTGGCGCTGGAGTGCAAGTTCCACCAGAAACAGTACTTGTCCATCGCTGAGCGCGCCGAGTTCTCCAGCAGCCTGAGCCTCACCGACACGCAGGTGAAGATCTGGTTTCAGAACCGTAGGGCTAAGGCCAAGCGGCTGCAGGAGGCCGAGCTGGAGAAGCTGAAGCTGGCGGCCAAGCCGTTGCTGCCCTCGTTCGCCCTGCCCTTCCCTCTGGGCGCCCCGCTGCACGGCTCCAGCGCATTCGGTGGCCCGGCAGGAGCCCTTCCCCAGGTGTCCGGGCTCCTCGCAGGGCCAGCCACGGCCTACAGCGTGTACTCCCTGACTTAGGCGTGGGTGTGAGAATCCGACCCGGAGCCGCATGGCGGGAGGGATGGCCTTGACCTTCAGGAGGGACACGGCTGGTCCGGCTCCGCATGTGCCACAGTCCACGGAAGACTGGCCTGCGCTGAGTCCCTGTTCCTGGTACCCTCGGCATTTCGGTGTTGCCTTTTTGTTGCTGTTGTTTAGTTTTTCGTTTTTGTTGCTAATGCGATGTTATATTTAATGCCTGAAGCCTATTTGTGGGTATCTTACAAAGATTTCAAGTTTCTAAGAATCATGTTAGTACTAAACTGTTTGCTGAAAGGTAATGGACTTTATTCTGTACCCTCAAAATGGACCAAAATAGATCTTACTACTTGGAATAAAGCAGCTGCCAAAGTACTCTGAGGCTTGCTCCCTGGACCCACCTCTGGCTCTGAAGTCCAGTTTCCTCCAGGTAGCCTTGTCCACTTGCAAAATTATTCTGGGACACACCAAGGAACTACTTCTCAAAGAAATTAAAATAGTTTGATGCCAGGACTACTGGAAACAAATACTGACACTCTAATTAGATTCTCACGTCATTATGGATGGAAACTTTTGCACTTATTTCAGGCAATTTGTAATCGATTCAGGGAGCTTGAAGCTGATCACCCGCTGCGGTGGGAGCATGGGCACGTTAGTGGTGCCAGGGACAGCAATGGGGGGGCGGGGCGGCGGGGCGAGTGGGCCTACTGGGCTTGGGGACATGCCTCGAGGACAAGCGCTGGGCAGGATGCTGCTGCTAGGCTGCTCCACAACCTCAGCCGAGCTGTGCCCCATCCCCCTACCGCTTGCAGGGAAGAGGAAGAACTCCCTGCGATGGTGGATAGGGGGGGCGCGGGTGGATCCAAAAGGCCTTGTTCTAGCGCATCGAGCCCAGGTCCCCAGGTCCCCGCTGGTCACCCTTTGTTTGCAAGGCACAGCTCTCTTTACATGAAGAAGATGAACAATCTGACCCGCTCTGAAGAGCTACCCCAGTAGGTCCACCAGCCCTGCCACACAGCACAGAGACTCTGGAAAACCCACAGCTGGTTTCTTTGTAAACTGCAGCCACAGACTGGAGGGTTAAGCTGAGCTTGCTGAGAGCTTGCCCACAGATTCCCTGGAGTCACAGCAGGAGTAGTGGGAAGTCCCCCCCCAACCCCCAACCGTGTCCTGACTTGCAGCTGAAGACAGGACTGGATGGCCAAGGGTGCAGTGGGCCTAGACCATGAGGAATCCCCTCTCCCCACAGGCCTCTGCTGATGGCACTGGGCTGATCAGGTGGATCAGATTGCAGGAGGGGAAGGATCAACTCTGCTCATCAGGACTGCAGCATAGGAGAAACACCACAGTCCTACAGACTTCATGGGTGTTTCTACTTCAATTCAAACACCTGGAAGTTATAAAGATAATATTGCATGAAATTCCCTATGGTGTCCATTAGACACTCTTCCTGTGTCTCTGAGAAAATGGGAACTCACCGTGGGTTTAATGAGGAATGATCCCAGTTCTTGGAGACCAGGCCGGAGAAAGGGAAGGTGCCTGCCTTTCTCAGGTGCCTGTGCTTGTCCACCCGCCCTGGGGCCTGAACTATTTAAACTGAAGCCCAAATTCTCAAGTGGCAGACCCTCCCGTGGTCTCTAAATATACAGAGCAAAGGAACCAGGGTTGGGATAGGTCTTCAGCAGCCAATGTCCCCCATGGGCTGCATCAGGCTGCTGTTTCTCAAGGCCCTTCTAGTCTGTTTCCAAATCTTAGGTCTCTGAGTGGCATAGGGCCAGCCAGGACCAAGTTTTATGGTTCAGTTTTAGTGATTTCTAAGTAATCCTGAAAGCTACTCACGAGGAAAACAAGCATCCAGGGCCCATTCCAGTGGAGTTGGGGTCCGCACAGCAACTTAGCCACCTTGTAGGCATCTGTGCACTGGCCAAGGGCATATAAACCACCCTACAGGGCCCTGGAGAGTGCCAGGCAGCCCAGAGCTGATGCAGATCTGCTGAACTGAGAGTGATGAGCTAGCTTATTTATCCCTCTGTAACCAATTATTTTTTTTGGGAGAGGCGGGGGTACCAGGGATTGTACTCAGGGGCACTCAACCACTGAGCTACATCCCCAGCCCTATTTTGTACTTTGACAGGGTCTCACTGTGTTGCTTAGCTCCTCGCTTTTGCTGAGGCTGGCTTTGAACTCACGATCCTCCTGCCTTTGCCTCCCAAGCTGGCATGTGCCATAGCACTCATCTCTCTGAAACCATTTCTGACCCCAAATATCTGCCCAAGTCCTCTTGGTGCCCAGACCTCTCCAGGGTGAGTTCATCTCTGGGGCTGGAGGGCAGGACATGCATATGCCCTTGTTGCTGTCCAGCCCTTTTGCTTGTGAAAAGACTAAGGTGAACTTACCAAGACTGAGACTTTCTCCTGGAGAGAGGATGTGGGCTAGAAGCCTTCTCCCAGGATTAGAGGTCCTGCAAACCCTAGGCTAACCTGGAGCTGTACACACCTGCTGGCCACCCCCTGAACTCAGCTAGTGTGTCTCCAAGTCAGAGGTCTGTGAAGGCTGGAGGTGGCCTGGAACTGGTGGCAGAATAGTCACGTGACTATCTGACATGATAGTCATTATGTCCGTGCCGGTAGGCTGTGGGCCTTGGCCCACAGATGCCGTGAACCCCAGAGTCCTGCCCGCCAGTCTGTGCCCTTTCAGCTGTCCGTGCTGGGCAACTCCTGTTGGGGTTGGGGACATTGCCCTGTCCTTAGGAATTTGTGTTCTGGCAAGATGATCACCTGACAAAGTGGCCCGGAGCAATCTTCCAGGGTAGGACATACTTCTTTGGGAGTGCAGGGCAGCTGTGTGGTTCAGGAATAAGGAGTGGACACATGGTAGAATGGCCTGGACTGTTGGTGGCCTCTGGCAGGGTCAAAGTGTAGAGGGCTGGTCTGTGAAATGCCCCAGTGACCCGCCCACTGAGCCCCACCATCCCAGATGTCTAACTGAGTGACATGAAAAGACTGCGGGTCTGGCGCCGGAGACAGGGCCACCTGCTCTCCTGGGAAAGGGAACTCATGGAGCCTGCTGAATAACCCTGAGGCTCCCAACACAGGAACTTCATCACCAGAAGATACGAGTATAGCAGGGCTGGCTCGCAGGCCCGCCAGCTTCTGGGTGTGAATGGGGCTGACCCCTCTGGGCCTCATCCTAGTAGGGTCAGCCCTTAGAGCCTCCGCCAGCCAGCAGCACCAGCCTTACCCCTCTGGGTCTATGGGGGCTGCTCTTGGCCCCACCCTGAGCATGGACTGCAGGCCACTATGCTGTGCTTGGGGACCACTAGGGGGAATAGGCCTGGTCAGGACGCCTTGCACTGGTTCTGGGGAAGGAATTTGTGAAATCTGACCAGCAGATCTTGAATGACAGTGACGATCTGGAGCTAAGGGCCTCCTTGCGGGGAGTTTTGAAAAGGTGATGCATTCTCAAGCTGGGTAGTAGGACTGGCATTTGCTACCCCTGCCAGGACATGCTATTCTACCTAGGAAATGCTTCCAGTGAACTGTGGAGGTGCAGCAGCAGGCGAGTGGAGAGCAATACCATTTCCACTTGGGCTGACCCCAAGAGCCCAGCGCTGGGGACAGGCCATCTGCTCTCCTGCTTGTCTTTGTGGGCCCAGTGTCCCCAGCTCTCAGTCCCGTGCACGCCCTCAGGAAGCGTTTATGAGTAAGAGGATTGCGCTGTTTTCCTGGCTGTACAGAAGGTAATGCTACCCAGAGGGACTCAGGTGTGTACTTTTGTTTTCAGTTTTTAAAACTGTTGCCTAAATTGGAAGTTTCACTATTTCTTTCTTTCTTTTTTTAACATTCATTTTATAGTTGTAGGTGGACACAATACCTTTATTTATTTATCTTTTTAATGTGGTGCTGAGAATCAAACCTAGTGCCTCACATATGCTAGGCAAGCGCTCCACCTCTGAGCCACAACTCCAGCCTAAGTTTTGGCTATTTCTTCCTTTTTTTTTTTTAATATTTATTTTTTAGGTATGGATGCACACAACACAATGCCTTTATTTTTATGTGGTGCTGAGGATCGAACCCAGGTCCGCCCGTGCTAGGCGAGCACTCTACCTCTGAGCCACAACCGCAGCCTAAGTTCTAGCTATTTCTGATGGTCCATATAACATGCCATACTCTCACTGATTGGACCACCAAGGGGAAAAAATCACCTAGCAAGTTAGACAGTGAAGACCAGCGTTAGTGATAGATGGTTTGGCCCTGAGTCTTCTCTCTCGGGATCTTTGTTGCTTCTGATTTAGCTTTTTCATGTTGTGGTTCTGCTCTACCCTCTGCTTCTTCTTGGCTGCTAGTGGTCCTATGTCTAGAACTTGTCCCTTCATCTGTTCTGATTGTTCACAGCTCTCTTTTGATCCTTCCATAGGTGGGATGATGCCCCTTTGCATTCTGATTGTCAATAGCGGGTTCTGACAGCTCCTTAGGCCTTTGACCAAGTTGCCCTGGGAGCCCCATTGTTTCTGAAAGCAGCCACTTTGAATCCTGTAGCAACAAGTCTTTTGCTACTCTGAAGTTGAATTCCTTATCTTTGACTTTCAGCACTTTAAGTATGACTTGTCTATGGCTCTTTTTGCATTCATTATCCTACTTGGAATTCATTGAACTTCCTAAATGATGGTGTGCTTTTCAAAAAATGTGGGCCATTCTCAGTAGTTCTTCGGACACACTGTTGTGCTACTCTCTCTCCTCTCCTCCCGACGTTCTGTGGGGTGCCAGAGGTGCCCTGCCTCCCTCATGCTCTCCCTAGGTTCTTCATTTTCTCTCTCTTTTCTTGGTTGGTGTCATCAAGTTTACTTACTCTTTCTTCTGCCAGTTCAGCTCTACTGTTGAACTGCTCTGGTGAATTTTTATAATTTGGGGCATTGTACTTTCAACTCCAGAATTTCCACTTGGTTCTTTGAAAGACTTGTTTCTCTCTTCTTTGAAACCCTATTTGTGATGTGTCATCATGCTTCCCTCAGTTCTGCAAACACTTCTGTGATGGCTGTTGGAGTTGCCTGTCTCACAGGGATATGTGTCATGTGTCCTGTTTATTTGCATGGTTTGTATTTTTTGCTGTTGTGAGTTGAACATTGTAGGTAACACATCATAGCATCTTGCTAACGCTTCTGTTTGCTTATTCCTCACTGGCACTGGATCTGGTTTTAGTGTCGGCAGCTCTTCTCAGATGTCTTCAGCCTCTGGCGTCCTGAGGCAGTGGGACTTTGCTAGCCCAGCCTGCTAGGTGCCCACAGATTGCTCCATGTTTTCCAATGATGCCTTGGACATAAATTCCCCACAAACTAATCCAACAATTGAAAGAATGGGTTGAACTGTGATAAGCAAAACTATAGAAATCCAGCAACATAGGAAGACAGCCTAGAGCTCCTCTAGTTGACTGTCCTATTTATGGAATTAGACATGGAGTTTAGCAGCACATGTGATACAAAGGAGAGAAAACGAAAGCAGGTCCAACGAGACTCCAGGCACCAGCACGCAGCATAGAACACAGAAGGTCTGGAAGCAGATGACAGAATCTGACATTCACTTCAGTGCTTTCAGGATAAGGGAGGGAGCCTGGGTATAGGCAGCATCTGAAGATGTTAGACTCTAGGCTCGAAGGCAGAGGACAGCAGGCAGGCAGGGAAGAAGGATATCTTCTCCCAACCTGGGTGATAGAACAGTGGAATACCAAAGACCAAAGAAGGTCCTGAGAGTAGCTGGAGAGGACCCTCAGGGGACAGGGAGTCCCCAGCACACCTGTCTGCCTTGTTAGCAGCTCTGAAGGCAGGGACAGCTGCCTAGCAGGCTCAGGGGAGGCACCAGGTCTGCTGTTCCCAGCAACAAGACAAGGATAGAGAAGCATTTTCAGGCAAACAGAATGAAAACTGTACAAGCACAGATTCACTAAAGGAGACTCCAAGGTTGCTTAAGGCAATGAAGAGAATGATCTCTTGTAAGCTGGGAGAGGCAAGGACTGCTTAGCCAGGAGCGGCCACTATGGCAGATTCACTGCACGCTGGCCCTGAGCCACGGTAGTGATATGCCACGGGATTAGCAAAGGGATCTAGAAATGAAATGTCTGTGACACAGCGTGAGCAGAGCTGGGGCTGGGTTTAGTGTCCACAGTCCCTGACTGTTGGGGGAAAGGAGATGTCAATTAATCTTGGAGCCCAACAGAGTTTATGTTAAAAATGTCAGGGCATTTTTAACATAAAAGTAATTATGTTATAAATTATAATTATAATACATAATAATAATTAGCTAGAAGGTGCCAAACTCCCCAAAATGACAGAGGGAAAAAAGCACATTCTGTCCAAAATAAGGTATAAAAAGTGAGGCCAAGAGCCTAAGCAGACTGTGCACCACAGGATTGAGGATGGCTGCCACACCTGATTATGGGCCAAGGTGTTTCCCATGTGAAAGGTGATTTCCAGGTAAAAGCAAAGAGAAGACCAAGGCTCCACACACTAATTAGAAAGAAACATCACCCCAGCAGGTCCTGATCCCCCAGCAAGAAAACGCAGATATGTCACCGAAACCCAAGCGTGGCAATCCAGTTTTCCACCACAAAAAGCACTGATGCACATTCCATCCTGAAGCCTGCAAGTGACCTCTTTCTGGAAAGTGCTTCTGTTTGACAGCTGGACCTGAACCCACCGGGACTCTGCAGCAGGGAGAGGAGGTCTCCCCAGAGACTGAGCGGCCCACCTGGACCTCACTGCAATGCTGGAGTCTTCTTCCCATCAGTTCTGCATTCCATATTTGTCAAGAGAAAAACAGAGACAGGAAAAACATATAGCTTTCTAGTGAGGGAGGAATCTAGGAGAGGATCCCAGCATGGACAGTCCTCAAAGGCTGCAACACACTCCTAGTGACCCAAACTGCAGACAACATAGGTCTGGCAGAATGTGCTGCTGTGGAAAGGATCAATCCCATCACTGTGGAGAGCACTGGTCAGCACTAGCATACAAGGAGGACAGCAGGATAGTGGACACACTGAGACAAGGCCTCCCACGGGGAGTTGGGAGATGTTTTGCATTCTGTTTTCTCAAGTGGCCACATCTGCCCCCAGGGGATGCTCACTTCCTACCCCAACAGTGTGCACTGGGTTTCCTCCCTGCATACCAGGACTGCACTCAAGCTGTTTTCCTTGAGCACTTGCACCTGCTTTAGTGCCTGAAGTGCCAGTGGAATGTTTTCTGAATTTGAGGTCATCCTCAAGATTCCCTCTGAGAACTATGAGCCTGGCTGCACCTCTGTACCAGGAGTCACAAGTGACCACCAGCTGCTTCTGGTCAGGCCCCAAGTCCAGGAAAACAGCAGGTGGTGAGGTGAGGCAGGGAAGGGCTTGTTGTGCTAGCACCTCTGGCACAGAAGCACCCAGATGCCTGGCAGTGGGGATGGGCCTCTGCCAGGCCTGGCCCTGGAGCACAGGTTTTACCCAGCATAATCATATTTCTCCAGGACATGCTACTGCCTGCCTGTCTGTGCTTCCCACACCTGTTCTGACCTCCTGAGCTGCCTTTCCCACCTTAAGTCTTGCACCCCTGGCCGCTTCTCTCCTGCTTGACAGGCCTGTGTGTCTTCCTGCTGCACCCCTTCTCCAGCACTGTGTCCCAGAGGAGCTTGCTGGGTGGGTGGGGCACAAAGACCATCTGGGTGTCCTTCTCACGGCCTTGAAGGTAAGGACTCAGGGACTGCTGTACCTGACCTACAAACCAACTCTCAGGGGCTCCTCATAAATCTCTCTGAACAGTGAATCCTCAAAGTGCAATACTCTTAGTTGATAAGTTCAACAACATAGAAATAAGAGTAAAGAATTTGGTGAAAAATATTTATTTCATGTGCTTAAAAAGAATGTCCCTAGGGTGGTCCCTGCAGAAAGAGGTGAGCTGTCTCCTGAGCCTGCTGTTTGTCCCAGTCATCTCTGGAAGCTTTAAATCCCCTGCCGCTTCTGGTAACTCACTGAGGGACCCAGACAAGGAGGGAAGCAAAGGCCCAGCCCCAGGGTGCCCACATGACAAGTGTGAGAGAGGCCCGAGGGCCATCAGCCCCTGCAGGAGCCCCATTCCTGCACTGTCCACACAGATGCCTGGTTCTTTCTCCCATCTGGATCTGTCAGTGGTGTTTGTTTCTTTTCTGGGTGCTTTTAAACCCTCGAGATGCACCTTGGCCAAAACAGATGGTAGAAGGCACTCTGGAATGGAAAACAGTTCACATCAAGTGATGGCACTTTCTTTGCCAACAAGCAACCCAACTCATAATAGCAGCCTTGTGTGTGATTCTTTATTCCTTCTTATTCTAGAATGTTCCCTCTCTCACTCTGTGCAACATCCAGTGCAACATCCAAGAAGTGGAGTCTGCCCTCCTGGGCCCTGAGGCAGCTCCTGGAGTCAGATCTGCTTCCTGTGGAAGACATTCCCAGGCACTGGCCACTCATTGAGATCTCAGCTGTGCCCCAGCTTTCTGTGGTGCTCATGTCCCGTTATCTAGCATCCCCTGAAACCTGACCTCCCGTAGCGTCTGGGCCACTCACAGGCCAGTCTAGGCAAAGGTGAGAAGGCAGATGAGGGAAACACACATCCATCTTCCAGCCAGTTCAGAGTCTTCAGCGATTTTTTTCCCCATGGTTAACATTTTCCCCAAAACCAGATTCCAAGTCAGTTTTAACTCCATACTAGAAAACAAGTCTGCCAGATTGTGACTGAAACAATTACAAGTGAAGGTCCCCCATGGACTGAGTGAAGTTAAAAGGGTAGTTTGCATTCCTGGACTTCATGGTACATAACACACCAGAACGTTCTGGTTTTCAACCTCATGAGGCCAACACTTGCCCAGTGTTACTGTCTCAGGAAGATGTCCACACTGACCTGTGGATGTAGGTCCGCTTCTCACCTACAGGTGCTGGGGGTGCTGCTGCAGGCTCGGAGCAGACTTCCATTGCATCCCCTTCATCCCTGAGGGCTGCAGTTGACAGGTCAGCATCAGACCTCCGTGTGGCTGGGCTGCAGAAGACAGAGTGTCAGCAACGGCTCAGCATAACTCCCACAGCCCTGGCTTCCCCCAGAAATAAACTTTCAAGCAAAGGACTCTTTTTTTCTTGCAAAGATATTCGTACTCTGTTGGCATAGTCTAATTTTACAGTGCAATTTCCAGGCTATCAAAAAAAAAAAAAAAAAAAAAGGGGTGAATGCTTATGGCAAGGTCACAGTTCACATAATATGCCCTGTATTTTATATATTTAAATATGATCACACTCTGTCTTTCAAATATACTGTTTTTATGGTGCCACATGGTATAAGCCTACCAAGGGGGAGGATGCTCATGGCTTTGGATGAACTCCATAGGCCCCTGCTGGCAGCTTCCTAACTCTGAAAACTAGGGCATGTGCGATTCAGCCCAGGTGCAAGAGTGGGAAAGGAGTGCCTGCCATTCCTACATCCCTGTTTTGCTACTCCTGGCCAGGAACTCCTCTGACATTTCCCTTTGAGGGGAAGCTACCCTTTTTGTGTAACCCCTTTGAGTACTGATCCCCATGGTCAGAATGTCAGCTACCTGCAGGTATATACAAACAAAAAAAGCCTCCACCCATTCAAGCTGCTCTCACATCTCCTAAGACCAGGGGCGGCCAACAACCCTACTCCTCACGTACCCTCTGCTTGTCTTGGGCTTATCAAACCGGAAATCCGCGGGGTACAGGTGGAACCTCACCATGTGATCCTTCCGGTCTCGGCTGGTTTTAAACTTCTCTGGGCAACCTTCAATCAAGCACTGGTACTGCAAAAGATAGGGTGTCACCTCCCTGATCCAAGTCCCTAGCACAATGTGTGCCCAGCCTGATTAATTACTCACCATGTCCTGCCTCTCCGCCAGGATCTGGAAGAGGGAGTCATGCCACTCCAGAATGTGGGCATCCAGCAGATGTCCGGAAGGGAAGGCGCGGCTGCAGAGGGAGCAGGCATTCCCGTGTAGCATGTTGTAATGGTGCTGGTAGTCCTCGAGGGCAGCAAACACCTGGCAGCAGCCAGGGACCTGACAGGTGAACTCAGGCACCCTGGGAAAGGAGGCTAATCTCAACGGAGGAGGCACACTTTGCTAAAGCAGAAACCCCAATGGTGACTTTTCATCCAGAGTAAAAGGCCCAATAAAGCTCCTGAGGTTCTTTCGGTACTGGGAACTGAACTCAGGGGTGCTCTACCACTGAGATACATACAACCCTAGCCCTTTTCATTTTTATACTGAGACAGAGTCTTGCTACATGACCCAGGCTGGCCTTGAACGCTGGGATTAGAGGAGTGCGCCACCGCGCCATACTCCAAGCCTTACTTATTTAAAAAATGAAATTTCCCTAAACAGGCCACAGATGGAGTAGAAGCCAGTCACCAGACGTGCCAACGCTTGCACCGGAGGGTCTCTGTGGAGGGATCTGAGCCCTCAGCTGCACGAGGCGGTGCGGGGGGAACGGGCGCGGGCGGAGTCGCTCACCTGGACCTCTCCGGCTCCTCGGCCACCTGGGTGAGCACATCCTGCAGGTAGAGATGCCTCTGCACGTCCCCGTCCTACAGGAGACAAGCGCGGAGGTTAAGGCCGGGACCCGCCCCAGCATCAGGCCCCGCCCCTGCGCCCCTGTGTCCCCGCACCTCGAAGAGCTCGTGCTCCCGCGGGAGGCGCACCGGGCGTGCCACAAAGCGGAAGGGCGCCGCCCCGGCCGCGGGGTCCCTCTCCACTGGCAGCGGCTCGGCCGCCCCGGGCGTGCCGGCCAGGCGGGCGCTCAGCGCGGCGGGCAGCAGCATCGCCCTTCTCGGCGGCGCCGCAGCCCGTCGGCCACCATCCGCAGGCGGAGCCGGACGTGACGTAGCCGCGCTTCCTGTGGCGGCCCGCGCGCGCGGCGGCTACGGCGGCGGCGGAGGTGAGTCGGCGCTTGGCTGGTTCGTGCAGCTTCTGCCCCTGCCCCTCCCTCTGCCCCTGCCCCTCAGGCCGCATTCTCCGCCCGCCTGCACCGGCAGGATGCGGCCGCCTCTCCCGGGCCCCGGAACGGCCCTGCAGCTGGGCCAGTGGACCGGGAAGTTGGCGGTCCACTGTGACCCGCCTCCGCCGGCCGCACTGCGGGGGCTTCCCGAATCTGCCCCGCGGCCCTGCCTGTGTCCTGCGGGCTCTGCCTCTCCGGCTCCTCCACCGTCCACCACAGGTAACGGGGCGAGGAGGTCCCAGGCGGTGCTGCCACCCGAGCCCACAGCCGCGCAGGGGGACGAAAGTCGGAGGACAACCTTACCTAGTCGGCGGCGTGGAGCCTTCACTCTCCCGGCGCCGCTGTTTCTTCCTTTTTGGGCGCTGGGGCTTGAACCCACGAGCGCTTTACCACCTGCTCCATCCCCAACCCCTTTGATTTTGAGACAGGGCTTGAGCTTACGGTCCTCGTGCCTCAACCTCCTGAGTCTCTGGGATTGCAGGTGTGGGTCACCCCGCTTTGTGGAACGTTTCATCTTTGAGCATGGCTTCTGTGTACCTGTGTGCAGTGCCAAGGAAGAGAGGTCCTGTTCCATTACTGTGGTTACATGAGCGCCTCTTGATTGGAAAGTAAGGTGCTGGGGACTTGGGCGCCACTTCAGGCCTCCTCCTCTCACCTTCATTCTTGGAGACACTTACCTTGGCCAGTGCTGGAGGTTCATTTAACAAGCTTTCCATTACCCTGAGGTTAGAGTTCCAGTTGATGCCCCCTACAAAATTAGCAAGCTGTGGGAGTGTGTGCTGGGTCTCCTGTTCTTGAAGTCTAACTCAACAGCTGTTTCTGTCTGAGCTGTTGGTGCAGTACTTTTTAACCTTTTGGGTCACAGAACCTTTAAAAATTTGTTGCAAGACCATTTCCTCACAAAATTCACAGACAAATGATTATGATTATCTTTAAGGGTTCTTTTGTTATTTGTGGATCCTAATTTAAGAACCCACACATAGGTGTTTTGAATTATTCATATGAAATTTATAGTTACTTTTTAATTCTTTTTAGTTGTAAATGGACAACTAAAAAGTTTTATTTATTTTTATGTGGTGCAGAGGATTGAACCCAGTGCCTCACACTATTGTGTATGCATTAGCCAAGGGGAGCAGCACAGCTACTTCCTGCTGGCCTAGGGCTAAGTGTGCACATAGTCTCCCAGGAGAGGAGAGCCCACAGGGCCATTCGCACAACCTGCCTGGTGCACTGCCTGAGTGGTAGAGTGTGCTAAAAGCCCAGCTTGTGAAGGAGCAGCACTTTGGGTTGTCAGAAGGGTGTAGCCCTGGTGAAAGCAGTGAGGCCAGCTAGCATGCCACAGCTCCCTGAGGAAAAGGAGGCAAGTAGAACTGACTGCACAGGTGGGAGGGGAGAGGGAGGGCATCATGGTGTGGGGGGGCCTGGGCTGGGCCAGGTGATCTGTTTTGTCAAAGCATGAAGTTGGTCAAATTTGATCTTTTAATTTTTTCATAGAGGTTAATTTTATGAATAATTCTATTCTTTCCTTTAGGAGAGTGTGTCTTGTGATGTTGATGTCTCAGAGCTGAAACCATGAGTGAATTTCGGATTCATCATGATGTCAATGAGCTGCTCAGCTTGTTGCGTGTCCACAGTGGAGATGGAGCTGAGGTCTACATCGATCTGCTGCAGAAGAACCGGACCCCGTATGTCACAACCACCGTCTCTGCCCACAGTGCCAAGGTGAGCATTAGTCCTTGCTGCAGGGCCATGCACGTCAGGGTAGGTACTTGTTTCTGGCAGTTACAGCAGCTCCTGTGAGGGAAGCCACAGTACTTGTTGAGTGCTTCCCATGGGCCAAGGACATGCTCCACTCTGCCGTTCTCCTGGCTCCTGGTAGCAGCTGCTGTCACTTCACATTGTGTAGATGAGTCAGTGGAAGCCCAAGTAAGCTGGCTTTAACCCTGACGTAGGTACTACCCTGCTATTTCCCAGGGAGGGGCTCACAGAAGCTCGGACATTCCTACAGGTAAAAAGCTACCGCTGTTAAACACATTGAAATTTTTCAAGGTGTTTCCTCAGTCACATTACACATGATTTAAAAAGATTTTCAGTGAAAGATGGTTTTAAATTTGGAATCTGTTTCTAAAACACATTGTGAAGTTTCACTTATTTGGATAATAGCCAGGACAGTTAGACAAGCTAATAGGGTAGGGTGAAGGGAGACACGCAAACTTCTGTAGTCATCGTCAGCACATACAAGTCACTGGGTGAAATGTGTCCTAGAGCCATACAGGGTAATAAATCCTATGGGGACTAGAGTTCAGGGTGTGAAATGAAAGTGTGAGCTACCAGGAAAAGGTAAGTGCTTATTATTTGCTCTTGTCTAAGAAGCAAAAAGTGAGAGAAACTGTAGAGGAATTGTGGATAGGTTTGATCAAAGGTTTAGGTCAATTTTCTTAGTTTTAGGTGTGTGATTATTTAGCCCATATAATTTAACTCTTTTTGGTCTTGTGCTTAATTTTCTTAAAAATTTTTCCAGGTGCTTAATTGCCATCAGATCACTCATGCTTGTGTTTTTAAGGTCAAAATTGCAGAATTTTCTCGTACTCCTGAAGATTTTCTAAAGAAATACGATGAGCTGAAGTCTAAAAATACAAGGAACCTTGACCCTCTGGTGTATTTGTTGTCAAAGTTCACAGAAGACAAAGAGGTAAATGCCCTGTGCATCCTCTGCTCCACCTGACAGGGCCTGTCAGGCGCACCCTTGAGTGTCTGGAGGAGTCTTATGTACCATAGTCACTCGTGGAACCCCTGTGCCAATGCAGGTTACACCTCTTGTATTCTTCTTTGCACCCTGTCCCTTCTCTTATTGACTTTTTCCTATCCCATGCCAGGAACACTTTGAGGGCATGTGGAGTGTGCTTGGTGAATCAGAATGAACAGTAACTCACAAGGGGCATAGACCTGAGAAACTGGCACAGCACCCTGCGGTGGTGGGCTTTTGCTTTTTATGGTGTGTCGTGCTGGGCTCCTGCCTAGTACATGTACCGTGCATCAAGGTGACAAAGCCAGTGAGTGGTGTGCTAGGTTGCTGTGTGGAGGGGTGTGCCAGGGGCTCATAGACCAGTAGTGCCAGGATAGGTTAGAGGAGGTGGTTGCTGCTGCCCAGGAACCACAGGTGATGCGTAGAGAAGAACTTGTCCTTGGGGGGATAAGAAGGTATTGGCTCTTTAAAAAGGCTGTGAGATTCCTTCCTCTGACATTTGGGAGGTATGGTAAGTGATACCATGTAGCATGATCCTCTGGAGAGCAGACTGTGGCTATTGGGCCATGGGAGTCCCCTGCCCTCCACAAGTGGTGTGTAGGTTAGGAAGGAAGGATGGGGTTTGCTCTGCCAGGCAAGGGGGCACATGCTGGCCCAGTGTGAATGCACAGTTTTGCATATTTTCAGACTCTGCAGTATTTGCAGCAGAATGCAAAAGAAAGAGCTGAGCTTGCAGCCACTGCTGCGGTCACCAGCACTACCACTTTCGGCGGCCCTGCAACGGCCTCCAAGATGTCCATGCAGGAGCTTGAAGAGCTGAGGAAGCAACTGGGCAGTGTGACCACAGGCTCCACACTACAGCAGGTACAAGTCCACCATGGCTGCTAGGTGCCACGGTAGCAACAGCAGTGGGTACCAGCTGGGCAGGCTTGTCTCTATTGTCTATTAAGAATGAATCCAACTTTAGAGAGGCTAAGACTGATCATGCCCTTCAGTCAGGAATTCTGGATCATAAGAGTGAAGAGTGGTGGTGAGATTCTAGTGGGGGCCACCTGCCACAGACTCATGGGACATGGGTCACACACTGATTTCCCTCCTGAAGCCTATGGTGGTTCTGACTCTGCACCTCTCAGTCTTCATGTGTCTGCCTGCGGTGTCTCTGATGCTGTTGTGTTCGTAGGTCATCTGGATTTTCTTCTCCTGAGCTTGCTGCTCTTGGCTTGATTGTCCTGCTCTGTTCTGTACTTGTGAGTCTCAGTCTCAGGTGTGTTTTTGATAGCTGATGCAGACCCTTCTCTGTGGCTCCGGACCACTCTTTAGAGCCACGTTCTGCCATGTGTCATATAGCCTAGCACATGTGCTAAGGACAGAGCTGAGCTGTTGGCATGCCATGTCTGCCGATCGAGTGCGAAGCCTACGTTCTCGACCATACAGCCTTCACACTACTCTCCCCATGAGTACCTGTTGCTGGAACAAATCAAGTTGGTCCTTCTGCAGGCTGGCTGGCCAAATATGAGCTGGCCACCCTCTGGTGTCCAGTCCTCTGGGAGGGTTGACCTTGATACTGCCTCTAGATCTGTCCTGGGGCCTTCCCCAGCATGCCCTTTGCTGGTGCCTCTTTGTCCAGCAAGTCCTATTGAACTTAATCACTTCTAGGAAAAAGGGACTTGGGTTCTTCCCATGCAGAGGGTTCTGGTCTGAAACACAGGCTCCCCACGCTCCCATTGCTGGTGCTTCAGCCTCGGCCAAGGCCTGGGGAGAGGACTGGGTCTTTCCACCTCTTGCTCCCCAGCCTTTGCGTCATGAGTGGCAGGTGGAAGTATATCTCGTTTCCACATAATTAAGCTTTGTGTGTAAGTTTGTTCTTTCTCTGCCACAGATGGGTCATTTCCACAAATGTCTTGGTTCTCATTGCACTGATGTGTATCTTCTGTTTTTTTTTTTTTTTTTTTTTAATGTTTTTGTTAGTCTCTGGAACTTACAAGAAAGATGCTTCGAGACAAGCAAAACAAAAAAAATTCAGGCCAGCAGCTCCCCGTCTTCCCAGCTTGGGTGTATGAGAGACCAACTCTGGTCGGGGATTTCCTAACTGGCTCCAGCTTGAGCTCAGATG